CTATGCTACCAACTGCCATGGTTGTCTATGCTACCAACTGCCATCATCTTGTATAGTTCTGTCATGTTTGGGAACATTATTTCCCCAGGTTACTCCCATATATTTGCTATATGGGGACGTGCCGCTGGCCAGGGTATGGTTTTTGGTCTTGCTGTCTTAAACAGGGTATACATTTCACCCGAAATTGTCTTAAACAGGCTCTACAATCTAGATAAAAGACCGATATAATTTTTGTGTCTTGGACAGGGTGATATTTTCATAAGAAATACCGCAGAAATAGTAGAAATACCGTTTCACTACTGTACCAGGATTAACGTGTTATCAAAAATTTCGTCCTCGTGGTATACTTGATAAATATCATATCACAGACAGAGAAGTTAAGGAAAAAAAGCAAATTTATTAAAAAAGAGAACAATACACTGATCCATGTGAACATGCAAATTGAAAGGCATAATCCAATTAACTGAACAAGACTGAATCCGGTATTAATAACGTTTCGTGTAGTTAAATCACTCTACACCTGGCTTTGTAAACCACTATTATTTATTGCCTAGAGTTCATCGTTCTTGAGCAGTTCACCATATTGGGTAGCTCTGCCTCCTGCAAACAACTCATCATTGTCTAGTATCTCCTTCAATGATAGATAGTTGTCCTGAAACGCAAAATGGTACATTTTATTGTCGTCAACTTTGAATCAGACTACTCAAAAACGAGATCACGTGTCATTGTAGTTCCCGTTTACCTTGTCACTGTCAGCCTCTGTCATTAGATGATCTACTTCTCCAATAACTGGGTCTTTATCTCCACCRGGAAATATCCAGTGCTTGACCTCATCCTTGATATTATAAAAGAATGCTTTTATTTACTAGTAAATTTTAATTAAATTTTAATTACATCTTGAAAGATGTAGGATACGTGAATCTGACCAAGCAAATATAGTGCGTATTTTGTGCCTTTCTTTTTCTGCTTTCGAAATTTATTATATTTCATCGATATATCTCTAAGGTTAATGAAATGCAATGAAAAATGAAGAAAATAATCGCATAAAAGTTGTGGGGCTCTTGTTGGTGGGTTTGTTGATTTGGTAGGTTGGTGGGTTTGTTGATTTGGTAGGTTGGTGGGTTTGTTGATTTGGTAGGTTGGTGGGTTTGTTGGTAAGGTTGTTGGTGGGTTTGTTGATTTGGTAGCAGGTTGATAGACTAGTTGGTGGATGTGTTGGTAAGGTTATTAATAGTTTGTTAGGTAGCTATGGATGAGTGTGTAGAACATGTGATGGTCTGTTTGTTTGATGCTCTATGATGGATCAAATAAAGAGATAGCATTGTTTACCTTGTCTAGTTTTCCATCCTTGTTTTTGTCCAAGTCATTGTTAAAGGATTCTCTAAGAGACTTGTCAGTTTCCTTGTCAATTTCTTCGCTGCCACCAAGCCCTAGAAGCAATAGCATCAAAATCCTTACGGAGAGGGTTTTGACAGTTGGGCATCAGTAACGAACACACTTTGTGTTTTGACTATAGCTTTACTCGGTTATTTTCAACTTTCGCACGAACAAATGAACTGATGGATGACTCATGCAGTCATGTGACCAAGAACAGTCTTAACCTTTACTCAACATAAAGCCATCCAATGTAACTATTTCAACCTGACATAATGGCGATTCCAACCTAAAACTAAAAAGGATGTTACATCACGCTTACCTAAGTATTCTTCAATGCTAATCAAACCGTCTTTATTCTTATCCATACTATGTATATTTTCTTCSACAAGAAGACTTATCATCCTGGGAGATTCTTCAGGGTGAAGGAATACTGACAGCTCATCGGCATTCAACGTGTTATCGCCATCAGAATCTGCAACTTGGAATCTCTTTTTTTCTTGTTTCATCTGATCAGCGTGCTTGAAGTCACTTTCAACAGAACCTGATGGTAGATCATTATATTATAGACATTCAAAACTGCACGCTCCACTTATTTATACTCGCTCCAGAACCACTAAGAACAAAGAACAACTTGAATCATTGCAGATCAAGAAGTCTCTCTATACTGTGAGGGCAACATAATATATATTTTTTGTAACACTTGTGTGAAATCTCGCAGCTCAAGTATGTTTAACAGGACCTGGCAMCATATCTCCTCTTAGCTCATGCTCAGTTAAAAAAAAGACTGAAGTAATGGATGGATGGATGATGAAAGGATGGAGAAAGACCAGAGCGAGGTCGGAAATTAATTTTTTCTGGAATAATCTCCTTTCCAATCGCTATTATAAGTTTCCATTTTTTCCATTTTTTCATATATTCCATAGTGCCAGGCGGTCTGCATATATAAAAAAGAATGCTTTTTGACATATTTTTTCAATAAAACTGTGTCAAAACCCTCACAATGCAAAGGAGAATGGCGATATAAGCTTACTGCTGTGCTGTGATATGGTACGGCGTACCATATCACAGCACAGCAGTAAGCTTATATCACAGAACAGGTTTTTGACTGTAAGAAGTGACTAAACCAAATCACTATAGTCGAAAACGTTTTTCAATGTTTTAATTTCATAACATCTATATATTTTCATCCTTGTACATAATAATAAATACAAATCACTATAATTAAAAGAGCCTGAGTTGACTATGTCATTTATGTAAGACTACGATAAATACAAGAATTAACAATAATGGTCGACACAAACCTGTTTTGAACTTTTCCTGATCTTTCTCAAATTCGGCCCACGTGACTTTACCATCTTTGTTCGTGTCCATTTCAGCCATTCGATCTTTCGTATTCTTAGCGACGTGTTTTCTTACATTCTCAACAACCCATTCAGCTAATTCTTTACGGGACACTTTACCGTCATTGTTGATGTCGATTTTGGGGAATAACGTTCTAAAATAAAATGATGAAATGACTTCCTAATTTAAAGGGACACTGTCAATGGCATGCATGCGCGAGTAAACTTGAAAAYATTAGGCTAGTGTTTTCAAGTTTATGACTCCAAGTTGGCGCGACATAAATCAGCTCGTAAACGTAAACAGATCTAGAATATTCCAAAGTGTGTCAAAAGCACCACAAAATGATTTACCTCGAAGGTAATGCTTTCAAAGTCCGTTAGAGGCGAGACTGYTACTGCGCATGTCATCCATTGACAGTGTCCCTTTAAAGAATCACTTCTTCGATAATGATTCATACTGATTCATACTAGCTTATATGGTATTCGTGCTAATGGTTTATGGCATCTCTTTTCTCATAGAATAAAGGAATCCATGATACAGTAAAAGGAAACACTTATTAGTTTAGTTAGAAGATAATCAAAATTAAAATTTGTTATTGTTTTTTCAATTTTTTTTTGATCAGTCATTTCCAAAGTTTCCGCTATAAAAATGAATGCAAATTAGACATTAATTCTTCAAACTGAACTTTAATGATTGATAAGCTTGGCTTCTGACAAATGGAAGYGCCCGTAGTGTCTAAGTGTAATGAACTGCTTATGTTGGTTTAAAAGCTGACGTGTCGCAAGCTAGTGCTAACAAAAACATATTCTGTTGCTATCAAGATAAATTCATTTTAAGACCAAAAGCATAAGACTTGATCAATGGTACTGCTGGGCTGATRTATGTTAAACGAATCATCTTTATTCATATCGAAGTTAATTATGTCGTCTAACTTTCAATTGTGATTATGTAAATAGCGCTTCGCGTCCACTGAACTCGGCTCAGTCGCTGCACGGAATCGGTGTGACCGATCTCGATTCAGCGACATTCATGCTATGCATATATAATTGCCACTGCGCTATTTCATAGTAAGGTGTAGTTGAGGTGTTGGTAAATTTATCGAATAAAACGCTGTATAAAAATACTTTTGGCAGTATATTAGACAATTTTGTAGCGTTCATGTTTTGATCTTTTTGCTTTTTAACCATTTTTCACTTACTTCAGTTTTGCGTGAGTCTCTTCTTTACTTAAACCTTTCATTGCATCAGCTTGCTCCTCGCCAAGAAACGCTTGTTGATCGTACATTGGGTCATGTTTGCCATCAGGAAAATGTTCAACATTTGAAAAAGAATCTCCTTCATCAAAATTKACTGGAGCTTTTTTTTTCTTCTTCGTCTTACCGTCCACTACGCTCAATACAGCAAGAACTAMAACTAAAAACAGTTTTTTATCCATGATAAATAATTTGACTGATCCTTTGGAAGATGGTTTGGTATGAAATCTCAGCCTTGATGCATCAGTTGATTTACATTTAAGCCACGTTACGACTTCTCACAGGTCATAAGACGCCAGACCGAGTAGTTGACACGGCTGTATGATTCAATTCGATATGCATTACGAACATACTGACGTGGCGGTMAGGAAAGAAGSAAAGCGGAAAAACTTGAGTTTCGTTTACTGAAAGAATAAAAGAACTCAGATGGCTGTCAGTCCCCGCTACGCTGGCACTAAATGATGCAATGCTAACTTTTAAATGCTAACTTTTAAATGCTTAAAGGGATTAGCCCCACATTATCTAAGTTCAGGTTTTAACACACGTGCCTCTGTACATGGAAGAAACACTAGAAATAAGAACAAGTTAGACATCCCTGCTTTTCACACGGCTGCTGGACAACGCTCTTTTTTATATCGAGCGGTGAAATGTTGGCCATGGAACACTCTCCCCGACGAAATTACAAAATGTGAAAGCTTACACAGTTTTAAATCCAAGGCTAAGAGTCATTTTTACACAATTTTTGAATAAATCTAATATATCTTATTATATTTATTATAGTTTTTATATTACTGTACATACATTTATACATTATATATATTTATATTTTTGTAAATTATTGCGGAAGAGCCCTACGGGAGCAGTAATAAAGTTTATTATTATTAAAAGCATTTAAGAAATGACACAAAACYGGGCACAAAACGAACCCAAACGACTTGTGTGTACTCAATAACTAGACGAAAACCATTTAACCCATGAAAAAACAAAGCCTTGAAACAGAAGTAATATCTCCCGGCTCTAGTTTGAATTGTTTGTATTGAAAACTCGGTTATTCTTATACATTCTTAATTCAGTAATAGACATTTTTTGCTTGTTTTTTTTTCAACAGAAGAGCTCAAAACCATAGGATTGCACACGAAACTACTGCAATAACTATCGCGTGCATTCAATGGTCGAAGTGTGTAAAAAACCGTGTAGCTATGAGAGCAAAAACGGCTTTCAAGCGAATAAGTTGTTATTTGAATATTTTTCCGTGTTTCCATTCTCTAATAGAAATTCGTATTAATGTTAGGAGAAAACGAGGAAGGTTGAAGCGAGTGATTCAAAAGGTTTTGAGTTTTCTCCCAGCAATACCATAGAATGAAAACATCGAAAATATACTGCATGACATTAGCATATAGCTATAGTGTAGAATGCTGTGCGTATTCTATCATATAGCTATAGTGTAGAATGCTGTGCGTATACTATCATATAGCTATAGTGTAGAATGCTGTGCGTATACTATCATATAGCTATAGTGTAGAATGCTGTGCGTATACTATCATATAGC